GCATTAGAGTTATTCGCAAAAAAATGAAGCGTTCCATGTTGACTGTCTGAAGAGAAAAGTGAAATTTCCAGCATCCATTATGGTCTGAAGCAGTATGTCATCAAAGGGAGTAGGAAAACTTCATTTTTTTTTATGGAAATGTGTATAGAAAAAAATATTTGGCAATTTTAGAAGAATCGCTTTTACCAGTGAAGAATGTTTGACATCCGGCCAAGATTTTGTGTTTCAGCAAGATGGTGCAGCGTGCCATACCTCAAAAAAGGCTATAAAATGAATGGAAGAAAATAATGTACCACTTTTGAAATGGGTTTCTAGCAGTCCAGATCTGTCACCTATTAAACCTTTGTGGCACGAGATGAAAAATGTTCTACGACAACATCCTGCTCGTACAATCACCGAACTGAGACAAAAGCTTAAAGAAATATGGGATTGTTTTACTCGAATTTTTTGCCAAAACTTGGTTAACACTATGCCCCAAAGAATTTCAGCCGTAATAAAAAATAAAGGTGATGTTACCCAATGGTGATCTTTCAATTGTTGCTTTGTTAACTTCGCGTATTTATTCGCACATTGTTTATTTGTTCAGATGTTCTATTAGTTATAGTTTTAAGTGATTTCAATTTACGATTAGAGTGTATCTAAAATGTTTTTGAAAAAATAAATTGTTTTAGAAGTAAATAGTTTCATCATGTTCAGTTTATAAAGGCATATTTTGGTACAAATCTTGATTTGGGCCACCTGAAGTGGGAAGGGGCTCGTACATATAAGAATATTCATCAAACGTATACTCTATGATGTTTAATAACTTATTGTCAACTTGAAATTATTCATGAAATTTAAATATGACAAACATTAGAAACCAAAGCAGCTTGAATATTGGAACTTTTAAAAACAAATATCTCGAAAACTATTAGCTTTAGACACTTCTAACAAGTAAACTTTTTTTGTTGTGGAAGTAGGAGAAAATAAGATTTTTTGGTCAGTTGTTGTATGCAGGGTAGCACAAAAAAGTTATGATGAGTTATTTACCGAAATAGTGCTGTAAGTGGTGCCCTCTAGAATGTGGCCATACAAAATAACGGATTCTTATGTCTCATATTAGAAAACCTCGCTATACCGAATTTTATGCCAAAATCTGAAATAGTTCTCAAGCAATAAGGAAACATAGAAAATATAATTGTAACTTTGAAACCCTGTATATCGCAAACTATCAACTTTTGAACTAAGGTTTGTTTAGGTCAATTCACATATTTTGGTCTGTAGTATCTCCAGTTTCTAGATTTCCCAACCTTTCGTATACACCCTGTATATAAATATGTAAATAATCAACAATATACTACCCTAAAATTGTGTCCAAGGAAAAGTTCGATTACGCGAGATTTAGTGTCATTAAATGCAGTTACTAATACTATTGAATTGTGTACACATCCTATGAACGGGAGACTTGGACAAAACATTGGTGGAATTAGGATGTTGCATAGTAACGGTTACCCAAGCGAGGAACATGAAAACCTCACTTACCTAAAATATGTGGACCATCAATCTTATTTTGGAGTAAACTGAAAAAAAGACAGCGCGGAACTATTTCGGCGTACTTCAAGTCTAATATTAAAATGTTTAAGCAATACGTTTTATCACTTTCCGCACGTGTTAGGTATAATATTTTTTTACCAGCGCGGAAAGTACTCATTTTCAACACGCATCTGCGTGCAGAAAATTGCGGGCGGGAAAGTGCTACTTTCTGCACGCAAATGCTTGTTGAAAGTGAGTAGTTTCCGCACGCTGGTAGAAAAATATATTTTACTGCTCTTTGTTGAATAGATTCCAATCTGCTTGATTGATCTTCATTCGATACCCTAGCATTCGGAAAGCAGACGATGTAATTTGTTATTATTAAAACTGAACCTGTCATCAAATGTAACATCTGAAAACTTGCTCAAAAGTCCATCAGAACAAAAGGAAAGAGTGTTTACATCCAGAGTGTCCCAAAAGTATCGACACACTCAAATATCTCGGAAACTAAGGGTACTCAAATGCCGTATCTAGTGGTGGCCTTGAATCTCACTTTGACAGTCACCTTGTAGGTCATTTGAAGGGCAAGCTGATTTTCAACTGTATGTAAGAACGAGATAGATGCGCCTCGGTGTCTAGCAACCCGAGTGACAAGGCCACGGACGCCATCGGTGCACTCTTTCTAACATACTTATTGGACGCTTTTCTCTCGTACACATTACGACGTCAGCCAAATTTGAACCTCACCGAATATGACTAAATTATGCGTTTCGTTCAATTATTTTCTCAAAGAAGTATTTGTATCAAATATTTGTGGATTCACCCGTTACATCAGAATAGATTCATCTAAAATTTTGTACCTTGCATCTGTAGTATGTTACTGTAAAAGCTAATTGGTCTAGTTGTATGTTTCGTCTCGAATTCCTCGGATGCTTGTATAATATGCCGCTGTCGGATGTATCGAAAGTGATGGCTGTATCAGAAATAGAATTATTCAAAAAGACAGGGAACGGTTGTATACGTATAATTCACTGAGAGGAAAAACATTCCTTTAGCTTCCAGCTGTGGTAATGTGATGTCATGGATGGTGTTAAAACCATTAGATAGAATTGATGGCATACTTGGTTTTATGATACGTTTGGTTAATTATACCAGGTGTTTCAAGTTCGACCCTTACCATTGGGATCTCGGAAACGGTAACAGTCAGAGACAGAAAAACAGAATATCCAAAAATCGTTTTAATTTTTTCCTGACTTTATTTATAGTGCGATGTGAAAATACTTTACACATTAACATTGCCACTTTTTCTCCTCTACAAGATGGCATAATAAGAATTTCAATATGACGTTTCGTTTCTTGTCTTCCAGCATCAACTTAATTCTTTGTTATGGACGGAAATAGTGTTCTTAATTGTGATTCCAAAAATGTATATATGTCATGCATTGCCAATCCTCAGGTAATCCAGAAAAACAGAAATTCCTAGGTCGGCTTTGAAATTATCTTAGTAATTTATTTCTTGTACCAGACCAGACTTCAAATTGAACATAGTAACAGAGCTGAAAAAAGACTGAGAAGAAAGATAAATCGAACAGTAAACAATGTACAGATAAGAGTCAGGCTTTGCCTACAAATTAGCGCACAACATTTTGAACATTGCTATGATTCACCTGTGCTTATTTATTATTATTACCATAAAAAATCATTTTGTGTTAAGGTTTCACTATACCTCTTTATTTCCTTGTAATGTTCGTTCATACAACTAATTCATTGGTAACAATGGAAATACAGATACATCGCTGAATTTAGGACTGAAAAGTCCATTTAAATGTACAAAATTCAATACAGCGCACATATGAAAAAAAAAAGTTGGTGATGGAGGTCGAAAGAAAAGACTTCGGATTGAAAATTTGACCACGCCATCTGGTAGAGGAGAATAATTGGCCACGACAACATGAAATTTATTTTAAAATCCCATATGAAATAAAGTCAGGAAAAAATAGATATGATTTTGGGATAAATCTGGTAATGCGAAACAACTGACTGATAATGTCAAGGCCTACCTACTATATTCCGTTTTCTTTTAAATAGCTAAGGTTTGGCCATTATCAGTGTTGCGTGTATATGTATATACATTTTTGGAATAAGAAAAAAAAATTGTTTTCATCCTTCTTCTGAAGCACTTTGAATTCGAAGTATTCTACGCAGAATTTTGTTGATTACCTACCTGATACCGTTTCCGAGGTACCAATAGTGAGGGTTGAATTTGAAACACCCGATATAGGTGGAGTTCATTTGATGATTATTGACGTTTGAAATTGTAAATGAACGTCCAAATATAGCATATGATTGTATATTTCCTTGTTTGTCATTAGACCTTTTTCGTTCTTTTTATGTATGTAGGTGTATCCAAGTATCCATATAATTTTTGCAGTGACCATTTACGACCAATATAACTGATATTACTTAGCAGTTATGTTGTGGTATCGCAGTAGTTGTCGGCTATACGTGCATAAAAACCTACGCATGTACGTGCAGTGTCCATGAGAATCATTAATTTCTTCTTGACTGTAATTGGCAAAAAGGGCTAAAACCGGGCTGCGTCCAAGAAAAGCAAAAAGTTCAACCGTACTGGCTGTTGTGGGTGTTACTAGGCATCGCTTCTTAACACGACTTGCACCAATGCAGATGCAAATGAGAGAATGCTTGTGACTGAGTCATCGCACTTTGAAGGCAGGCATTTACTCCGATAGCACACAGCATTACTGCTATGTAATATTGCCCATGTTGGTCATGAGAAATAGTGTCAAGAAGATTGACTACAAACTTCCCACTCAATTTCGGACAATTTTTTACACCGAAACAGCCGCGCCGGCAGAAACCTAAATACCAGGGCAGCGCGGCTGCTATGAAGGGCTTATAGAAACTTTGTTAATCCGGAACTAAGCCTAAAACATTCTTCGGAATCTTGCTCTTGTGAGGGAAAGTTCGAACTTTAATTTATACCCTTAGCAACCTCAAAAATAATTTTTACCTAGATTTCAAGCATTGGAAATGCCTTTTTTTATAAATATTTCTTTCAGACACTGAACCTTTTATAACTCCAAAACGGTTAACTTCGGAGAAAAATTAGTAGAGATTTGCATCATGCATGCTGCCGTAGGCAGTGAAGTGTAAGAAAAGAATTTGAAAAAATTAAGTTCAAAATTCTGGATTCTGGAACAACAGCGAATAAAAATTGCAAAGTTACATGACTTTATAGACTATAGTATGACTTCAGATCATAATTGTTGTTGAGGCCTCAAATGACTAACATTCCGACTTTAATTAAAAATAAAAGGCAGTAACATATAATTTACTACTTTTATACTCTGCAAAAGCAAGTTTACTGCACTTTTTCGTAGTTTTCTTAATCTATTTGTATCATTTTTTCAAGGGAAAAAGGCGGTAATGCAGAATTTTATTTTTCATATGATTTATTCATATTGAAATTCTCATAATTTGTATAAAAGTCAACATTTAATGATTCATATTAATAATTATATAAAAGAACTAAAAACATCACGTTTTCTTATATGGTAAGTTAAACGCAGAATATTTTTAAACATTATTCTTTCGGAGTAAAAGTAACTATTTATAACGGTAAATACTTATTCCCAAATAATACAAATATTACATAAAAAACTAAATGAGTAATCATACTTTATAAATGGGTAAAAAGGCAGTAGTATCATACACATAATATAATCAGTATAGTATAGTTTGAAAACTACTGATTTTTTGCTTTGATAAATTGATTTACTGCTTGTATACTATTTTTGTCAAATAATGTGATCAATGATATATTTTGTAATTGCAATAATAAAAGAAATAAGCTGGACTCAAAATTTAAAAAAGGCAGTAAATAAACTACTGGCAAACACCAATCAGAAGATTTCAAAATAAATTAGTATGTTGCTGAAAATCTATAAAATTCGTGGGGAAATTGATTTCGTATAGGGTTGTAGTACCATTATTAAAAATATCATCTCATTCTTCGTACACATAATTGCTGAGGTCGCCAATTTTATACATTACCACCAACATACTAATTTAGTTTTCAGTTCTTTTGGTTGATGCTCGTCATCCCTTAGAGTAGAAGAATCGATGATAACATGCTTCACAGCTTCTTCTGAGTCGCTGCACTCCCTGCAAAATGGGGAATGTGGCTTCCTACTGGTACTATATCAAAATTTACGAACACCCCACTGACAACAACTTGCTTTTCACTTTATTCGTTATTATACGATAACAAATATTCTTATAAGTATTGCATTTAATATAAAGTGCTAAGTACCCATTGCATAACCATTACAAATGAAAATACGTTCATATCACACTTATCTATACATTTGCAACGTATGCTTTCATCGAGTATCTGACAACTGAATGAGTAAATATTAAAACGATTCAAGATAACACAAGTTAACGCTGTTTTCTAATTTATTTATTTACTCAGTTGTCTGGTTGCCAGAGTAGGATCTGCAGTACAATGACACATGTTCTAAATTCGTAAATGGTCACCTTGATTGCTATTACAGTTGTGATATTTAATTTGAGAGCGGTTAGGTGTTGAATTTTTGGCTCTAGTGCTTATGTCATTGAGATACGCGGAAATCATAACATTAAAGTTGCTCTAGCCAAGTTAGTGATGATAAACATGATATAATGAACTTTCCTTAAATTTTTAATGTCGGCAAGCGATGCAAATTAGGCCTTATAGTACCGAACTGGGAAGGGTATTTTATTGAATTCTCAGAAAAATTAACAGGCTGAAATTTGGCATGGTGGTATGGTCAACAGTACCAGGAACAAAAACTAATTCTTACTCTGAAACAGATGACTTTTAAGGAGAGTTTATATATATATATATATATATATATATATGGTAAACTCGGTAGAGACGGCCCAGCGGCTTAGACGGCGCAGTGCAATATTTTCCTAAATGAACTAAGAGCCGTCAACGTTGCCATTACTGTCGATCTTCTTTTGCAAGTAAACACCTTTGCCGTTCATCTCATGCCTTTATTTGGAGTTAAGGTAATTAAATTTTCCATCATATACTCGTATTTTATCATACCTTATTTTTATTAATGTATTGAGATCAAAAACAAGCAGTCTGAAAAGACTCTATTTTCATCACATTGATATTTTGAAGTACTGTTTTAATTCAATTTTTAAAATTGTATTCGCGTATCATTTAAATTTTGCTATTAATATTTTTTTAATCTGGTGTATATGACGCAATAAGTCTCTAATAAGGAGTCATTACATAACATACATACATACAACATCATATATACGCGATAGTGTTCTTTTGAATTTGCCGTAAATTCCAATTAGTTGGAATCGATTCCATCTCGTGTTTCGTCTCCGCATTTATGTATATCCTTACTGACTTGATTATAATTGGTAATTGGTTATCGACCACAATTGACTAACTGGTGCATTAAAAACTTGCAAATTGAACCTTATACCAGAGTCGATTAAATGACTTTAATTGGTAAATCACATTTAACTGAAATACCGAGAAGCACTTCATTCATTCTTGTTACATCTACTTCTGATGGTTCAAAAAACTACCCTCAATCTTCTGATGTGATAGCAGCTCAACCGAAAACAAGTAATCTCAATATAATAATTACAATAACCAATATTCGGAAATATAAAAAAGTCTAAATTAGGTACTATAAACTATAAAAATGTCTCTTACTGTAAGCGTGATAAAGTATTAGATGTTTCTAAAATTTCATCGTTACTGTGTACATGAAATATATTCAAAAGGATTAAGTGGTGCCAAAATTTCTGTGTTACTGTGTGTTTGTGTGTTGAAAATATTTGCTGTATTCCTAATATTGATGTACAATTCATTATAGTGTGCGCTGAAACATGGTTGTGTGGTAATGATAATGTGGTCGTATACCTTAAATTTAAATCATGAATGTTTGTTCTAAATGTTAGCTTGTTCCATAAACGTAGTGGTGAATGAATGGTTATAATAAACTTTATGAAATAACAAAAATAAATATTTGAATAGGTTGTTAATTTTGACCATCCCAAATCTTTGATTGTGCCAGTTACATGATCATATTTCCTAAGATTATTTGTTAACGGGGATAGCGGAATTTACATTTCCCCTATTGCCAGTAATGAATAAATATTAATCAACATCATTTTTGGTTTAGTCGGAAGTTGACCCCTAATAAGTACATAGAAATCTATTGTCTGGCCTATTCGAAACCACATACAGGGAAAACCAGATTTGCCAGACGGCTTGAGTTCAATGATAGAAGCCGATTGAAGAGCGAATGTCATCACCGCATTTCCTAGCAACGGTGATGAAGAAGGTCGTGCAATCTGCCGCGTTGCCAATATGTTAAACCAGAAAATTTTCGCTCAGGCTTTTACAATACGATTGATTACTGTCAAACCCGAAAAGGAGGTCTGTTCGAACATTTAATTAATTATTTTGTTTTCGTTTTGATTAGAATAATTTATTTCAATTTTGTTACGACTTAGTGTTTCAGTTTATTTTAAAATTATCTTTGATTTCCACCGATGGTGATAAAATCAACACATCCTGAATTATTGTTACAGCGAGCGGTCGGAAAATGTAACATACCTTTATGCAATATAAATTATCACTATGATCGGTAGATGGGTAGTGATCAAAATCGCTCATTTATGATCATGGAGATGGAAACATTGCCTTGGAATGTAAGATATGCGGTGTTGCCAAGCGAACCAATGATGCAATGTTGCGATCCTGCCCTTTCATTTCGACCTAAAATGAAGCTCCGTTAGGACCGATCCGTAATCGATCCTAAACAGATTCAACACAGTTCACAATTCAAAAACGTGTACACTTAAAATAAAAGCATTATTTGGGCGTAAAGAATAAACTAACCCCCTAATTCAAGGTACTTATGTAACATATTGGCGACACTGCAAATCGCACGATTTTCTGCGTCACCGTTGCTAGGCAACGTGGCGATGACTTTCGCTATCCAGGCGGCTTCTATCTCTTTCTAACATATGTGTCTATACACACTTTTCTCTTGTACATATTGACCTCAAGCCGTCAGACAAATTTGGTTCTCAGTCTGTATGTATAGATTCTGTTTATTGTACGATGTTTCGACCACCACTGTGGTCTTTTTCAAGTTTAATTGACATCTGTAACAGTATATATTATTTAGTTTTCTGCCTTCCAGGTTTCATTTCGTTACTTCTACCCTTTTTCACTATCCCGTACAGGGTGTTACTACGATAGTCTGAATGCTCCTATAACATGCCTAGGTTGTGTAAAGCCATTATTGCAACTTTAAAATGGCAGTAATGGCACCGCACAAAACCCCCCATAAGGACGTCCAGTTCCTCAAAGCGACAAGGGAGCATGTGGCTATCTCTCGTTTTTAATGCACTAGGCACGTCACCCTCGTCCATCGTTCCGAAAACGCCAAAAGTCATCTGAAAACGCGAAAACCCACCCAGAACCATTGTCGCGACATACCCGTTAATTGTTAGGTATGTAATCTTCGACTACAAATGGGTTGTAGTATTTCGACATCTTAAAGAAATCATGCTGCTTGTCTTGCACATATGTCTTTCTTAGATTTCTGTTAGTGGATCTAGGCAATCGGTAGTAGATATCGAATAAGTTTGTGATGTCTAGACCTCTGCCAATCACTTTGTATTTCCATCATAACCAGGGCTTCAAAACCGAACAAAGATATTCTTAAACATCTAAATGTTGTAGTTCGAAATGTTATCCTTCATATTGACTCGATTCATAAATCAATCGAGTATACTTTATTTATTACCTGATCTCAGGCGTGCCAGAGAGAGTCCTCTAAGATATTCATTGGAACGAGAAGTCGAAAATAACGAAATCAGATTACACTGAAAGCTATTAATATTACAGTGTTAGCGAACGGACAGCAGATTTCCAGGATACTTCCACTAACTCATCATATGAACTCGGCCGAATAAATTTCTGAAGTGCATCTTTGTTGGCTGCCATCCAAAATTCACAAAAAACACCCTTCGTAACTTACATATATTTTCAAGTATGACGACAACAATGAATGCATAAAAGAATAAGATTCTGATCTGTATTATCTGTGCATAGGTCAATAGATCGCCCAGCGGTCCTTGTCCTTTTTTTTGTTTTTGCCCATTATACCATATCATACTACTACATTTAAGCATATCGTAGCTAGTTATCAACAGTCTAACTATCAAAAACAAATAGTTTCTGTCTTAAGATGGCTACATGTTTCTTTAGTTTGCCAGGATACGAGGTGTGGCAGAAAATTAATGAGACTGATTTTTATTTCAATTTAATTCAATCCACTTTATTGTAACAAATACCTACAGTACACTTGACGAAGTACAAGTGGCGAAGTCTGGCAAATGGTCATTCATACTTAATTAATTTTTTATTTTTCCTTTAAACATCAATATTATTCTCTTCGAAGTAGTTCCCTTGGACAGCTACATACCTATGGAAACGTTGTTCTCAGTTTTGGTAGCAATGCTGGAAGTTTTAAGTATCTTTTAAATCACCTGCTTCACGGATATTTTTCAGTTTCGGAAAAAGAAAAAGTCACAGGGACTGAGATCAGGTGCTATAGAGAGGCTGGGGAACCAAAGGAATGCATTTTGGGGTCAAACATTCTGAGTCACAATTTTTTTGTGGCTGATTCTACTTCTGACGTACTTTTCCACCGTATCACTGACTGTTTCCGATCCACCTTGTGTCTATAATGGTATCCGTGCGTGGTCCAAGAAGTTGATTTCCAACAGCATTTTTTTAACCGTAAACTTTAATTATAGAAGAATATTTCTAATATTTTTTGTTTCGTTACAGGTAAGCTATTTTTGAGGACCTCATTTTAGTTGGTAAGTAATACGCTTTGGAATCTATTCCTCTGTGACACCCATGATTTTTAACAAATGCTGATAGATGTATCGCTTTCAGTGAAAACTTATCTTTCTGTCCAATACTACATTGTATATTATATACAATTCATAAGAATTGTTTTTGAGCTGCTGAAGTAAACTTTCCGTCATATAATACTTTGTCGATACCCCCCCAGCATACCTCTCCTGGATACGCGTCTGATATAAATTAATTTATAAGCTAGTTTTCTAAACTCTGCAGAAATAGAAATATGATTTCTAAAATTTTTATTTTTATTTTATTTATTTATTTCCAACAGGTGAAACCCAATTACAGGAAACGCTAAAAAAATAACAATTAAAGAGACATGGTTCTTGGACTTAAATCTATAGTATAATACATTCTAAATAAGATTGGATGATCTATAGCAGTTAAATAATCGATGCACAACTGTCACTGTAAATAT